CGGGGCGGGGGGACAGCAGCAGCAGACTCGCACGTCCTTCTTCCTTCCGCCGCGGGAGGGAGCGGTAGCGCCTCACGCAACTGCTCCGGAGTTGGCCCTTTGGGCTGGGGGGTGGGCCGGTGTTTAGCGCCTGAACGAAGCGGGACTCTTCTGAGGGCGCTGTTGCCCCCCACCGCCCGGGGTTAGCTGCCTGCAGCCAGAAGCTTCAGGGGTTGGCCGGTGTAGACCAACAGAGCAGGTTGCTGGCCGGCAGCCGTTGTGGTTCTCCATTTGCTTCTTGTGCTGGCTGCTCAGCTTCTGGGCAACGCGGGGCTGGCACCGAGGGGAGACCGACCCCGTGCTACCCCCGTTCTAGTAATCTTTGAATCATAGAATGGTTTGCGTTGGACGGGACCTGAAAGATCATCTAGTTCCAGCCTCTCTGGGGACACCTTCCACTAGACCAGGTCCTTGAAAGCTCCGTCCAACCTTATTTCTGAAGCTCTTGAGTGCCAGGGTTAGGTGTATGCGACCTGCCCTCCAGGAATATATTTGGCTTCAACGCTTTTTTGTTTCTTCAGGTGTTTTTGTTTATTTGTTTTAGGGGGCTTGTTTGTTTGGTTTATTTTAAATTGCTTTTTCAGTGCTCTTTCATGTCTCCTTTTTGGAGGTTCTATGTATTTTCAGTTGTTCTTATCAGCCGTATTTATTAGCTTCACATGTCAAAGCTAGCTTTGGCTTTGTTAGTCTTATAAATGTTTCTGGCTCTTTAAAAACGGTTGTTCATCTCTTCCCAAAACCTTCAGGATGACCCTAAAAAGTCAAAATTATAATTGCCTTTTTTTTTTTAATTCCCCTTACATTTTTTCTCTCCCTCTTTCTTTTCCAGGTATCTGTTAGTGTTATGGGTGAGACAAAAGAAGCTAAAATGCAGATAACGCCAGAAACTCCAGGGCGAGTCACCATCCTGAATCCTTTTGAAAGTCCCAGTGATTATTGTACTCTTCAGGAGCAGATTGTTTCCAGTCCTTCAATCTTTAAATCAACAAAACCCTCGCCTGTAAGATCTAGTTTGTAGTTGTGTAGCTATTCAAATGTAGTGCTAATATTTTGAAATGCATTAAAAAGTGTATTTTATTTAGCATACTTTAATATATATGCTAAGCCAAAGAATTTTGGTGGCATTTGGTATTTGTTCTCATTACAGGAGTATGCTGCTTTGAATACTAACATTGGTAGTCTTCTTTCTATTTGCTAAGTGCTAAAACCAGTTGAAAGTAGATAAAAGGCAGTTGTTGGATGTGGTGCTTTTGTCATACCTAAAGTTCAAAAACACTCCATTTCCTATTTACATGCTAAGCAGGCTGGATGCAAGTAAAACGTAAATTCACTTCTGTTATGAGCTATTTGCATATTCACATTGATGATTTTGTGTATATACGACTTTTTTTAGTTGCAAATCATATGCTGGTTTGCAGTTTGAATTACTTTCTGATAAGTGGTAGAGATGATGCTGTGCTAATGAGTGATCTACCAGGACTTGGTAGATAATTTTTCAAACAGATACTTGAATAGTATTTTGTAATTAAATGTTAAATAAAGGGATGAAGCTGCTTCATTTCTGAATTGGATTTTGTTGTGTGCTATGCATGGCATTACAAGGGAGACTTTGCAAGATGCATATGGGACTGCAACTCCTGAGTCTTCTTGGAACTGCAAGGTGAAAAGAAGGCTGCTCTATTATTTGAATAATTTAGGTTAGATGTGCATGTTGGGTTTTCATGGAACCTCAATTTTGATAGTGGCAATCTAGGAGCGACTAAATTTTATCCCAAGTTCTCTATCTTTAGTATATCTATCTTCAGAAATTTAAAAGAATTTGACACTTCAGTTTGTAAATTTTAGCTATAACCTTCCACTTTATATTATCTTGTAAATCATTGTAATACCACTACCAGGATAAAGAAGCCTGATTGACTTACTCTTTTAATAGGTAATTCAAATGGAAGCTCTTTTGATAGTCTCTGACAGAAACTATATGGAAGTTATGATTGCATTGTTCCATTGAGATTTGTCCTGTGGTTTTATTTTTATCTTTTGAGACTAGCAAGCACTAAGATGTTTGTGCCTTTATTATTTTTTTTTTTTTAGACACCAGGAAAATTTAGATGGTCTATTGATCAGCTTGCTGTAATAAATCCTGTGGAAATTGACTTGGAAGATGTTCAACGCCAAGCAATGTATTTGAGTCATGATAGGTAACTTAGTCTGGTTTTATGCAGTTACCGTGCTTCAATACTAGAACACTTTTCTTTTGCTTTATTGACATTTCAGTGCAGCATTGAAGACATTTTATTCAAATCTTTTACCATAGATTTTCATGTGTCCCTAATGTGGATATAATATTTAGATGAGGCTGCCTCTGTGTCACTCTTTTTAATGTTAAGAATTGCTGATCCACTCTTAACTGCAGTCTGGACGACAGCCAGATAAAAGCAGTCAACAGAAGCAAGAAAATGTCTTGCCAGTGGTTGTTACCAAGCTACCTCTTCTGCTCCTTGACACAACACAATTTATCTTCTTGGAGTGTTCCGTACCAAGACCTATGAAGTATAGTCTTCTTTGGTTTTCGGGACTCCTGCAGAAGGGTAGAGCTGAGAAAGCTAGCTAGGTAAGCCAGTACTCTTTGAAAGGTATAGGTTAGACTTAATGTGAAGGTGGTGAGGCACTGGAACAG